TTCAGAAGGAACCAGGAAGAAGTGATGCAGTGGCAAGTGAATAGAAGTAGGAGAACAAGGTATATATCGAAAAAACACCTCTGACAGGTTCTCTGCCTCTGATCAATGGCAATGACTGGTCCTGAGTGTGGAGTCCAGAAGAGGAAACAGGTCACCCCCCAAAAGCAAGAGAGGGGAAGCAGAATGGGGCATTCCTTTTTGGACTTGGCCTGTGAAGGAATTGGACCTTGTGTATTTATCTATCAGGGTTTCATTTGAATTTATTTTTATTTTTATTGTTCTGTTTGTGGGGAGGGCGGCAATGTGAGGAAGATGTAATAACTGCTTGTAAAAAAATAGATGAAGTCTTTATATATAGTTGGAAAAAATACAATGCCATTAAAAATAAATTAAAAACACAAAGAGGGAAATTTCTTTCCGGTCCACTTAGTCATCAGAGTTTCTCCTTTCTCACCCATTATGGATTTGCTCGTTTATGGATTTGTTGTAGATTGTCCCAATAGAATGTAAGCCCCTGGAAGGCAGGGATGCTTCTGCATCCTTATCTTCATTTCCCCGGTGCTCATGATAGGTGCTTACTAAGGAACATTAATGAATGCTGGTGGAATGGAATGAGATCATTCATTTCACTGGAACCTAAGTATGATGGCTGTCCTCACCTTGCTTTTTATGGCGTTGGGATCAGTTATGCCAGTGGCATTGCTTTAGCCCTTGCCTATCTCTTTGGCCTGGAGCCTGTGACTGGTGATTTCCTGAACAGCTTCCAATCTGTCCCTCTGTCTCTCATTCAGAAGGGTGTTGTCTAGAAACAGGATTTCTCACTGAATGACCTTACCCTCTTTCATACAATGGGAGCCTAGCCTAGATTAGAAAGTCTCTTGGCCAAGTTCGCAAACCACAGGAAACACGAACTGTCTCTGACCTCAGGCCACGCTCCTGCGCAGGCTACCCTATCTTAGAGGCCAAGACTGTTCAAAGTCAGTAGGACAACAAAATCCTGGTTCTTCCATCCCTTTGCCTTCCTTCCACCAGTGGCCCTCTTCTCACTGGCACTGTCAAGAGCAGTCTAATAAAGTGACCTGAAAATCAGAGAATGTTGTTGACTTTCTTCCTTCTGCCGTGGATGTCAGGCCTCAGGATCAGTCTGATCTTGAGGTTAAACAGCTAGTGTTAACCGTAGCTACAGTTTTGACATCACCTATAACAGATACCAATAAAGGGTGTGTATCCGGGTTAGTGGTGAGAAAAGAAAAGGCAGAAAGAAGAGGAAATTAACTGATGCACGTTTTTTCCCAAGATGGCTCCTTTGCATCTGAAAGGTGCCCACTGCATCACTTCTTCCTGGTTCCTTCTGAAACTGTCAAGTTCATCATGTTTTGTGGTGCAATAACATTCATATGTCATAATCTGTGCAACCATTCCCCGACTAGGAGCGCATGCCTTTAGCTTACTAGTTATAGCTGCTATGAAAAGAGATGCTACAAATGTTTTGTACGTATTTTTTTTTACATTTTGGGTGCATGTTGGGCACACTGAGATGAAGGCAGCAAAGTTGGGGTGAACTTACAGGTAGAGAATTAAGGATCAGAAATGTCAATCTTGTTTTTAAAGGCATCAGACCTTTGACTTGGATTCTACCATTACACGCGTCCTTAAGCGTGTCCACTCTGCTGGAGCCCCAAGTTGGCTTAGATTCTCACCAAGGATCTCAGCCTTATCACTTTCAAATCTCTTTTTCTGGAATTTTCTTGGACGTCCCTTGCAGTAGGAGGCATGTGCAGGCCCATATTGACCCTCTCTCCATCCCTTTCAAACTAGCCTGCCTATGCTCGCTGTTGCCAAATTCACGGTGTGGCTTCAGTGGCTTTTTGGATGAACTGGATATTTTCAGCGTGCTCAGATAGAAATGCCAAAGTTGTAACACCGCAGAAAGGCCTACGGCCCTGGGAGAAATGAGGGAGGCATCCTGAAAGTGGAGTCAGGACCTGGGTTCTAATTTCAACTCCACTATTCACCACTCGTGTGACCTTGGGTGAGGCATGTTGCCTCTGGGTCTTAGGCTCCCCATCGGTGAAATGAGAGGATGGACTCTGGCCTCAGAAGTTCCTGCCAGCTCTAGGTCTGTGATCCTTACCGTCTTTTTGCCAAGCACATTCTGTCACCTGCAAAATAACCAGCACGACTAATTCAACATCGCTTATGCACCCACATCATCTGAAGGCTAGAAAATCAAGGGAGGAAAAGAACAGGGTCATTGCCAGCCCCTCCACCCCTGTCCACTCACTAGATGTCCAGGTTCACAACTCGATTGTGAGGAGGCCTGGGAGAAGTCGCTTCCACTTGTATCTGCCTCCTTTGGATGCATCTGCCATATTCCCGGTGTGTGAATGTCTTGTCTCCCACTAAAATGTCAGCTCCCTTGAGGGCAGGGAGGGCTTCAGTTTTTCTTTGCATGCCCAGTTCTTGACCCAGGGCCTGGCACACACAGGAGCTGCATAATAAAGCTTGTTGATGGATTATAGACCTTTTCTCAGTTTGCTATCCCTTTAAAAAAAATTGCTCTTCTGATGACAGGAGACAATGCATAGTGATGCTTGGATAATGACTCCCCTTTTCAGAAACTCTAGTCTTTATCAGGAATACTCTGAGCAGCTTTTCAGTTTCAGGACCACCTTCTCCATCAGGTCTTCCTTCATTCTCTGGGGCCATTAGGGGGCTCTGCTCTCTCCCTCTCCAAATGACCTTGCCCTCATTCCCTTGTTTACAGGCCAGATCTCTCTCCTGCCAGCTCCTGGAAGGCAGGGACTGACTTATTTTTTTGTCTTTGTATCCCCATGGCCTAGTACTGTGCCTGGCACTGATGTAGCCTAACTTAGGAAATGCTGGTAGGATTGAATTGAACTTCTTCTTTCTTTACTATAGCTCAGGAAAATCTGAACAGGGCAAGGTGCGGCTGCTCAGATTAGGCCCTCCAGTGCTCCTGGGAGTGGAGTATGGGAAGGTGGACCTGCTGGCCTCCAGGGTGTTTGTTATGGGCATCGAGAAGCTCCCGGGGAAGGTGAGCGTGTCCTGGCCTGGGTCACCATTTTGATGCCTCAGAGGATACTGGGAGGATTCTGTGACCTCCATTTGGAGTTTCCCCTAGTAATGCCATCCCTACTCTTTCTTCCCCACCCATCCTGTGATATTCTTGTCCATGACATTGCTCCAATATTTTTGCCACGGGAGGTCCATTCAACATACTGGGAGCCTTTTCCTAGATCCCTTTATATTGCATCCCAATGGAACTCTAAGACTGTCCATTGATTACTTCTCATTCTTGCTGTGGGGGTTGATGGATCCATCTTTTTGGCCAACAGGGCAGACATTTCTCTGTTGACATATTTTATGCTCATTTTCCCATGTAGTTAGTTCCTCCTTTGCACTGTGCTGCAGCCTGCTTATACGACCTTGAGCAGATCCTTTATGGTCTTCTGGGTGAGCCTCAACCTTAATGCTTCAGAAATGGCCTAAAATTAGGCCTCACAGCCATAAGCAACAGTGGAAAGATATAGATGTGGGTCTCTGTGTCAGGGAGTAGCTTGAATTCATCCAAAGGACTGTGCCATTTTCTGAAGACAATCCAGCCTCCTCCCTTTCTGCTATTCAGTTCTAATCCAGCTCATTATCTATCTGCAAGGTCTGTTTAATCCCTCTTCCTTTCCCTCTCCCTCTCCTTATCCCCGTCCCTCTCCATCTTCTCTTCTTATCTGTCCATGTATCTATCCATCCCCTCTGTGTTGTCCGGCCAAGTGAACAATGGACATTCTTCATCCACTTGGCTTTTCTTACGGTTAGGCCAAAGTGGTCGTCCACCCCCAATCACCGTTGACCCCATCTTTGTGCCTTCTTCTCTGGCTTTCTACCTAGCAAATTTGTGCTGTCATTGATGTTGAACCCAAGCAGAAATAGGAGACACTAAGCCATACATAAGGATCTCTGTAGGCCACACATTGACTTAACCACGTGTTAATATTATCTATGTCTTATTGTATCTTTATTGTTTTGTTAAATATTTCCCAATTATATTTTAATGCTGTACTCTGGCATGTTGGGGGCCACACAACATTTTTGACACCTTACTGACTCCCCCAACACAACCCAGGCTGGAGGTACTGAAATGTTAAGAACTGTCTTATTGGACTTTTGAAAAGAAATACTTTGAATCTAGACAAATGGCAGCCAATGACCACCCCCCACCCCAATTTGGATAAGAAAAGCTTTTATCCCCTACATTTTCCGTCTTAGTCAAGCTTAAGCTGGATCCTGTTTCTTGCCCAATCACTGACTGAGTTAAATTCATATTAAAAACATTAACACCTCCCACTTGCGGAGCATAGTACTAGGAACTGGAGATAGAAAGATGAACTATGACCCAGTCCCTGCCTTCGAGCGCTTTATAGTCTAGCAGGGGAGAGAAGACAAGCAGGTACACAGACTGGGATACAAGGCAGAAGGAGTGTGAAGGGGAGGCTCGGGTAAAGTGCTATGGAAAACCCAGGCTGGAGAAAGCACTTTCAGCTTGTGGGGCTTTATTGAATAAGCCATTATAAAGTGCCCACTATGTGCCAGGTGCTGGAGATTGAAAAGAAATAAGGGGATTGATTGTCCTTGCTCTTGAGGACGTGACCTTCTCTTGGGGCCAGGAGAGCCCAGTGGAGGCTGGGCTGCCTGAGCTGGGCCTTCCCAGATGGGAGGCCTGTTGGGTAGAGAGGATGGGGCCCTGGTCTGTGACAGGGTGAGAATGGAAGGGGGGAGTCGAGCAGGAAAAGGGAGCACAGTGAAATGAAGGGAATTGGAGCCAGCTGGTGGACCGCCGTGGGCAGCAATTTCTACTTTCTTAGTCATGGGGAGCCAGAGCAGAGTTTTCAGGGGAGCCTTTACCTGGGATGCACTATTTTGCTTCCCTTCTTTCCCAGTGAGGCTGATGGTATTGATATGAAAAGTACATTGCAACGTACCTGAAAATATCAATAAAGTAATTGACAGAAACCGCGGTGTTCCCAGAGCTAGGAGAATGAAGTACGCCCTGCTCCTCTCTGCAGAGAGGCAGTGGCCTCCAGGGTCCGATGGGGTTGCTTTACCGGCAGTTTTTGCTTAAGGGTTTTCTCCCTTTGCTTCTCTTCTGTCACGGCGAGGAGGGAAGAGCGGCGTATCAAGAAGTGGTATATTTTTTAAAGGCACCGATACCCCATTTGTGTCCGAAGAAAGAAAAGTGCGCGGAAACGGGCAAGCCGTGTTCCTTGGACGATTTCTTCATGCAGGGAACGTTGCTTGAGCTCTTAGTGCTAAAAAAACCCAAAACCAAGAGCCCCCAAGCATTGTGTCACCACAGGGAGCCGCCCTTTCCTTCTGATTGTCGGTTTTCCTAATGGACGTGCCTTTCCGTTTACCCCTTAGGCTACATCATTTAGTGGAAAGTGCTCCTGCCTGGAATCGCAGGGCCATGGATTCACAGAAGGGACCTCAGGTCCTCTAGACCACCCCTCATTTCATAGACAGCTGAGGTAACTTCTAGATAACATAGTGCTGACAGAGCTGGAGATCAAGCCCAGGTCCTCTGATACAAATCCTCTTTCCATAGTCCTACCACACCGGACTCTAGTCAGTAACCCTTTTGATTCTCAGTTTCTTTATCTGTCACTTAGGGACAAAAAAACCCCTACCCTATCTCTCTTCTCTTTATAGGGTTGCGTGAGAATTGGGGGTGGGGGGTGGAGGTAGCCCTGTGATTTCATAAGTGTAGGGAATTCCTGGTGTGGAACTTCATCCACCCATGGAGATCAGCAACTCATCCGCATAACTTACAGGGGTAGAGATTTGCCTAGGATTCAGAGTGCTTAAATGACTTGCTCAGGGTCACACAGCTAAGTGGGTATCAGAAGGAGGATTTGAACCCATCTTCCTGAATCCAAGGCTAGCCTTCTAGGACATGCTGCTGTCTTTCTGTTGTCTGGGCTAAATGGGAATATGTTACGATGCTTCCATAGCTTACTCTTTTTTAAAAGCTGGTCAGCCCCCAGGAATGACTTTAGCGGGGGGTTAGCTCTTGCACATTAGTGTACACAATGCTACCGGATTGATATGTCTTAGAATCAAACTTTTAGAGTTAGAAGGAACCTTCCAGTCAATCTCATTCAACCTGCTGGCTTCATAGACCAGAAACCTGGGAGCCAGAGAGGCTAAATCACTTTTCTGGGGACAGATCCAGGAGAAGGAACCGTGTGTGTGTGATTGCAATTCCAACATTCTTGTCCACTGTAGTGCATGGAAGTAATCTAAACACTGAGTACAGCCTTGTGTCTTATCTATCCTCTCTTGGACTCAGCAGGCTGCCTCAGCTCTAAACATGCCCTCTTCCTCTTTCTCCCCTCTCACTTTTTTGGGAGCCCTCCATGTCTGCAAACCTCTGAGTTAGAAAGGTCTATGACTCATCCTACCAGCCCTGCTGACCCATCCCCCAGTGGCATCCTGCCTGTGACATCAGAGATGGGAAGCCAATCAGCTGAATCCAAGGGAGAACCTCTCCCCTCTTCGTAGATCTGTGTGGCCCTCACCTATGTCAAGTTGTCCCAATGTGTGGGCTGCCCCAGTGTAGAGGTGCTGATGACAATTTGGGTGCCCCACCCATCAACTAGTTTTAACCTGGGAGAGAGGCACTTGCAAGGCAACTTCTGGTAAGACCATTGTTGACTCCTGCTATGACATCAAGACCCCACCCGTTCCCTCCACCAGGTTCCAGGGACCTCTATGGTCTTTGGTTCAGGGTCCTTGCTTGCCCCACCCCTGCCCTGGTTATCCCCTTTAGGCCTTATGCCTTCCTTTGTGTGAGTTACAACCCGCCTAATAAAGGCCTCCTGCTTTCAGCATCACTGGCTGGTCTGACTCTGGTGAGAATCTGTGTTAAGTCCCCAAGTAACCGGAATTCACGGGGAAGGAGGGATACCAGTGCTGAGTTCATACACTTAAGCAGAGACTATTATCAGAAGGCAGATATGGAAAGTACGAGAAACTTAGGAGTTGTGTCCTCTTGAGTGACGTTTAGAAGAATTAGGTCATTCCTGTTTCTCAAATATTAGCATTGTTGTTTATGTTGCAGTATGAAGCCAGAAGGCAAAACAGCTTGATTCAAAGACAAACTTCAGTTCTAGGGCTGGTGGTAGTGTTCTGTCTTCACTGTCATTAAATTCCGTCCTTGGAAGGACACTTGTGGACAGGACCCTCTGATTAAGGTAGGAATCAGTGAGGATCATACAGATGGGACTTGGTGTGGTCCTCATACGTGTGAACTTGTCAGCTTTGCTCTCCTCTTAACATTTATTATCTCCCAGGTCAACATCCACCTACCCTCCCATTTAAAAATTCAGGAGCTTATTCTAAAGTTTGATGTCTTTTAATGTGTATGGATGCTAGAAGCCCTTCCATTTTCTGAGTAATTAAGCAGTGGTTTCTATGACTGTCTGTCTCATGATGTCAGTGCCATAGGTCTGTGTATATTGATAGCTGGGGAATGACCAGAGGAGGATACCCAAGGTGGAGAAGGTCCTTGAAGCTGTGCAATATGAGGGCTGGCTGAAGGAGCAGGGGGTGTCTCGTTTGGAAAATAGAAGCTTTGGGGAGGGGACAACTATTCAAAAGGCTGTCAGATGGAACAGGGATGATTGATGAACTTTGTTCTGATGGGAGAGGGAAGACAAGGAGTGGTGGGTGGGGGTTGTAAGGAGGCAAATTTAGGCTTCAGATCTGGATGAGCTTCCCAATAGATGGAATTATTAATCAGTCAATCAACAAGCCTTTATTAAGTGCTTACTTGAAGAGGTCTCCCTCAGGAGGGAGGGGCCTCAGGTCTAAGTGAAGGAGCTTCTCGCTGTGTTATAGTGGGGATACTGGCCCAGTGGCCATGCATGGTGTGGACTCTGAACTCCTGTGCTTCACAGTTTCCCTTTAGTTCCCTTTATTTTATTTAATGAACTTTAGTTCATTTTAAGCTTTCAAGTTAAAGTACAAATAAAAATTCATAAGTGAAGACCTCTTGAAAACACCTCTAGAGATTTCTTATAGGATCACATTGACTGAGAAATGGCAGATTCTTAACTCCATCATTATACTGATTGGGGTGATATGGAGACTTATTTAGATTCGACTTAAGAATGAATGTGTGGTCTTACTCGTCAGGATAATCCTGTATTTCGGCTTCTTGAGGTTCCCCACCTCCAAACTTCCCTGCTTCTGTTGAGGGCACCACCACCCTAACTGAAGCCTGGACTATTGTAATAGCCTTCTAATTGGCATTACTGCTTCCAGTCTATCCTTTCTCTCAACTACTTTCTGTGTAGATCCCAAAATTATTATCCTAAAGCATGGGTCTGGCTCTGTCTCTCCCTGCTGAAGAGCCATAGTTGTTCTCCATTGTCTTTGGGGTCAATCCCAAGTTTTTTACCTTGATACTTAAGCCTATCACCATCAGACTCCCATTTTTCCCAGTCTTCTTTCATATTACTCCACCCCTATGTGTCTGTGAGTTTGCACCCTAGAGTTATTTCCTGAAGGTGATCTGTGGATTCTTTTAATTGCCACTGTTTCCTATGTTCAGAAGTTCTGGGCAGTTTTCTTACACTATTTCTTACTTAGTGGTGTTCAGGTGTTTTGACATGTGTTCTTTTGGAAGATCTATAATCCTTAAGCTATCTTTTTTTTTTTTTTAGGCAGTTGGGGTTAAGTGACTTGCCCAGGGTCACACAGCTAATAAGTGTCAAATGTTTGGTCTGAGGCAGGATTTGAACTCAGGTACTCCTGACTTCAGGGCTGGTGCTCTATGCACTGCGCCACCTATCTGCCCCTTAAGTTATCTTTATATTCCCTCTAAACTAATTTTGTTTTGCTTGAATGGAGATCATATTTTCTTTGAATGTTACTGCTTTTTGCTTCTCTTCCAGATTTCTCTTCACTTCTGTTATTTACATACCTGATCTATTAGTCTCCCTTGGGTTTGTTCTTTGAGATTTGCCACTGTAGATTCAAGTTTTTCTATTCTATTAATTATTTCTGCTATGCAGATCATAAGTTTTGCTTTCTCTCTTGAACCACTCAGGAACATACTGTTGTGGTGCCATGCTGTCTTGGGAATTCAAGAGGGTCCTCTTCTTAATCAGGTATCGATTAATTTTCCTTTGTCTTACAGTATTTATTCAGAGATGTTTGGACTTATTTAGATGACCTGGAGGCCATATTATGTTATTAACATCTTCACTGTTGGCTTATACACTTGTGTTAAACATCTTTAATGGATTTTTTATCTTCCTTAGATCTTCTGTAATTTCAATCCTTTTTCCTTATGTTTCTGTATTACTCACTTTCTCCTTTGATGGCTCTTTCCTTAGAGACCCCATGGGCCTCAAAGTTATCTCAGCCTCTTCCTATGCTTGGGAATTCACTTTTCACCAGCCTCAGTTTCTACCCCATCTGATGGGTCTGAACCAACTAGCTGGATGCCAATCTCCTCTGTTACTCATTTCTCAAGCTGAGTGTTGTGCTAGCACAGGGCATTCCCATACTACTATCCCAGGCAAAGCAAGTTTCCCACTTTCCAGTACCTCTAGCTCCATGGTGTAGGATGGAAGACTGTAGAGGTGAAGTCTGTTGCAAACTTTTGGATCGGGTTATATTCCCCTATCAGAGTATGGTAGCTGATGGGGGAGGGGGTGCTGAGCAAAGCATTTAGGGATTAGGAAGTAGCCTTTTCTTCTGTTAGTTCATTGGGCTGTTACCTAATTAAGGTTCTTGGTGTCTCAGAACATGGAGATAGCTGAAATTGCTTTACCTCTTGTACATTCATGATTCCTATTCTGAAGGGACTGAGTTGTGAGCATTACAGAAAATATTTAGTTTTCCATCTTGATGGGCATGGGACCTGGAACCCCTGCCCTTTGGTTTCATAACTCTAGAATTATTTTTTTTTGTAGCATTTCCTCAAATATGGAATCTAGATTGATGGGATTCATCTGGTTTTCTTGAAGTCCGGTGATTCTTGAACAATTTCCTCTCACTCTGTTTTCTGCTCTGTTGTTTGGGATAGTAGCCAGGTCTTCTATGCTTTCAGTCCAAGCCCTTTCTCACCTCTTCTCTCATTCTCCCCAGTCTTTTGATTTATTTCTGGTTACCTTCTTTTTATCTCATTCTCGCTTTAGGGTGCTCGGTGCTTGGGTCAGGTTCTCTTCTTTCTGCCTTAAGCTCTTTGACTTCCAAGTGCTCTCATTTCAGTTTTTTAGCTTTGGTTTCAACTCTTCCTTCAGGTTTCCCATCCACTATGAAGAGGTTTTTTATCTGGGGTTCTACTTATAATTATTTGGAATTATTTTCTTTTGGGATTTTCTATTGGGGTTCTCATCACCCACTGCACTTTTTCATTGTATTAGGAGTTTCATATCTTTAGCCTCACTAGCTCTAGTCCTACATTCATTCTTTTTTTTTTTTTTAAGGCAATTGGGGTTAAGTGACTTGCCCAGGGTCACACAGCTAGTAAGTGTCAAGTGTTTGGTCTGAGGCCGGATTTGAATTCAGGTCCTCCTGACTTCAGGGCTGGTGCTCTATCCACTGCACCACCTAGCTGCCCCCTACATTCATTCTTGAATTGGGCATTTGTGCCAAGTGCAGATTCTGCTTCTTCCTACAGTTTTGGACTATTTATACAGTTTTAGATATATACTAAATATATATATATATATATAATATTATATTATATAATATACATATTATGTAAATACACACACATAGAGTATACATACAGTTTTAGGTTAGGCCTAGTTCCTGTCTCCTGCTCTAGATCCAGGGTGAACCTCTCTACCAGGTAGAGGACTTGTCCGTGGTCCTGTTCAGAAATCACTGCCCTGCTGCCGCTCTGGGTTGTGGTAGCTTAGTCCTGGTCCTTCCTTCTCCACTACTCTACCCAGCCCATCACTAGGAAAGCATCTGCGACCAAACCTAGCCCCCTTATGCAGCCCACCACTGGAACATCTGACCCTTGTTCCTTGGCTCAACCCTCTGTTGAGAATCAGACCAGCTCCAGGCCCCGTCTTGTGGCAGGAGAGGAATCACTGATATTCCTTCTTGGGTTTGTTGAGTCCTGATTTTATCTCTTGCCCTCCCTCAGTGTTCTTGAGGCAGTTTCTGGTGAGCTGAGCTTTGCTGGGACCTTTTAAGTCACGTCCTTTGCTGGTAGTTCACTGTTCTTTCAACAATTATTTATTTATTAACCATTTAGTATGTGCTAGGGGTTGTCTATGGTTCTAGGTATAGAAAGACAGAAACAAAGCAGCCCATGCCCTCAGAGTTTCAATGCAGATGTGTGTGTGTGTGTGTGTGTGTGTGTGTGTGTGTGTGAGAGAGAGAGAGAGAGAGACAGAGAGAGAGAGAGAGAGAGAGAGAGAGAGAGAGAGAGAGACAGAGAGAGAGACAGAGAGACAGAGAGAGAGACAGAGACAGAGAACGTGCCATGTTATAAGCAAAGTAAATACAAAGTAATTTCCTGGGATGGGTAGGGCACTAGTAGCACCCCTAGTCTTGAGCATAGGCCCTTAAAGTTTGTCTAATTGGATTTCCTAATTACCCAGTTAGGTGGCATAGTAGATAGAGTGCTGGGCCAGGATGGCACTGTCTTGCTTGAAACAGTATAAATAATTACAGCAGA